TTATTATTAGTTTATTATTCTCTACAGAGCTTAATGCAGATCTGGATCATACTACATATTTGTAACGAATAAAAGTTATTCTCTGAGAGGCAATCAATCACTTCTTTGTGCTCACCATAAAGCATGGGTAGATTCAGCCTTTCAGAACTGCATCTCCTTATATTTGTTAAAAATATAGCATTTTAAAATCCCCCTTAGGACTTTCCACATACTGGGAAATGAAATATCCAATATGTTCACGTAAATGGAAGACAGGCAAGGATAATATAGCAGTGATTGGTTTTACTGATGCTTACCTGAATCAAGTTTACACTATTAAAATATTTGCTTTATAATAAATTACAGTAAATTACTGCTTACCAATAGCATCTATGGCTAGCAAATAGTAAATTCAAATTTATTCAACTTTTCAATTTAGAAGTCTACACCATTAAATTGCAGTCATACACTGTAAGAAGAACCTCTGGTTTTACTAGCCAGAAGAAATTGGATTGTACATGAATGAAAATAAAGACAGGTTTTATGGAAAATATTCATAAAAATTAGAATTTAAGGACTTTCTTTGTTTCCCTACGCCCCAACAAACTCCAATCCTATATATAGTTATAACAGACAATGACAGCTGAAAATGAGGAATGAAATTATTGATATCTTTTTGCTTGATAATATTGCTCAGATAAATACCAAGCAAACTCACCAGATCACAAATGAGACAGCTTTACTTCCTTCAGAACATATTAAAAATATAGGGACAAAATTATTGCATTATACACTCATTTTTTTTTTTTTTGGTTTTTGTTCTGTTTTGTTTTTTTGTTTTACGTAGTCGCTCTTTCTCTTGTAGTCTAATTTTTTTCTTCTTTTTTTCCTTTAATGCTCAAGCAAGTCACCACCGTATACATAACGCCTAAGGCATGTATGTAGAAATGAGCAAGTCATTTAGCTTAACTTTAGACTCAAAACCTCTTTTTGTGCGACTTTCTTTTCTAGCTATACACAACTTTCCATGCAAATCTCAACTGTGAATTACTTACAGACTAGTAAAGAAGAGGAACTTAATTTTTTCATAATGATCTATGAGCCGCCCCCCTTCCCCCAATCCTACGTAAACAGCAGTAGAATATTGAATTTAAGTTTGTGCCATTTGACTCTGGAAACATCAGGTCTTCAGCAAAAGTGCTTTCAGTCTGGATCTGAAATGATGAAATCATGAATTAGGAATGATTCTGGTGACAGTGATATTTACCTCTTTGAGACAGCCCATAAAGTTGTTACTGACTGGTGACCCTGGAAGGTCTGCTGTGCTGGGACTGCCTCCAACATAGAAAAAGTCATCAGACCCCAGCATGGTATAATCTTCTTGTGTGTAGCCCGTTGTGGTAAGAATCCCATCCACTGATATTGTCACCTAGATAACAAAGCACAGGGAAAGGACACGCTATACTCAGACCTAGATACTGTAATCCTGGGATATGCCTGTTTTGTGTTTTGTTTTGTTTTATTTTTTTTGTTTTGCTTTTTGCTTTTTTTTTTTTTTCTGTTTGTTTGGTTTTTATTTTTAGACCTATGGCGGAACCCATTTTCATGTCTGTTTGAGGTTTATTCTTAGATTCTATTCAACTAACCCTAAGAGATCTAAACTAGTTAGAGAGTTAACTGATTATTGAACTAGTGTCAGCATCATCCCTACTGCAACTCAAAAGTTACTTAGCAGACACAAAAATGGTGTTAGTAAAATGCTTCCTAGGTTAGTTTTGCTGGTGTACATATTAGTAAAGTTCAGTCGTCTGTTATTAACTAATCACAACGTGCACCTTGTTAACATAAAAGGCGCAAGCTTTTTCCAGCAACATCACTATTTGCACTATTGAGCAGCAACTGTTCAGCATGCAAGTGCCTAAGTCCATGCCAAAGGAGGAGAAAAGGCAAAACAACCAGTAGAAGCGCACACGCTGATGTGCACATGCAGGAGGTACAGAACAGTTCAGAAAGGAAAGGAAAGAAAACAGGGAGAACCAAAGGGAAAAACAAAAAACAAACAAAAAAAACTGCTTGTGATGACGTAAAGATGAGTGGGTGTGACATCTCCAACATTCCCAAATCAAGTTTCCATGCCATGCATCATGAATGGTTAGAGACTGGCTGAGCCTGCGGTCACTCCGGCCAGCCACCATTTTGTCTTATCCCGTGTTAACCACAGCTGGATGCAAACGTTCGAAACGTTAACGATGCCCCTACAGGTGAGTTGGAAAACAGAAGTTGACAGGAACAGGTAAAAAATAAGAAGGTCAACAACAGATGAAAAGAAGGAGGTCAAAGTAAGCAGAAGAGTACCAACCG